CGTCCTGTTCAGCACCTCTGTGGCCTTGGCACCCACCAACACCCCCATCCACCTCCAGGTACCGGCCCCTCTCCCAGGGGAGGGGGCTGCACCTGCTCATTCTCCCCCTGTGGGACACCCGTGCTGGGCTGGGCTGGTCCCAGGGCAGCCACCCTGCCTGGCTCAGGGGGCTGAGGGGGGCCGTTCTCTGCCCCCAGGTCCTGTCTCTGCCCATCGTGGTCATTGTCCACGGGAACCAGGACAACAACGCCAAAGCCACCGTGCTGTGGGACAACGCCTTCTCCGAGATCGTGAGTGCTGGGACCCAGGGCTGGGTGGGCTTTGGAGGGGGGAGGAACGGCCTCAAACTGGAATGGGAGCCCTGGCACTGTGTGGGACAGGCAGGGGGGGTCCTGTCCTGATGCCCCCCTGCCCGGCCACAGGAGCGGGTGCCCTTCGTGGTGGCCGAGCGGGTGCCCTGGGAGAAGATGTGTGACACCCTGAACCTGAAGTTCATGGCAGAGGTGCAGACCACCAAAGGGCTCCTCAAGGAGCACTACTTCTTCCTGGCCCAGAAGATCTTCAATGACCACAGCGCCAGCCTCGAGGACTTCCAGAGCCGCAACGTCTCCTGGGCCCAGTTCAACAAGGTGACTGGAAGGGCTGGCCAGGGTGGGCAGGGGCCAGCATAGCCCTGGGGAGCCTCATGGCCTCTCTCTGCCCCAGGAGATCCTCCCTGGTCGGGGATTCACCTTCTGGCAGTGGTTTGATGGAGTCCTCGACCTCACCAAGAGATGCCTCAAAAGTTACTGGTCAGACAGGTGGGTGCCTCAGGACTGGGCCTGGGGGGTCCTGGTCCCAGCCCGCCACCCTGGGGGGGTCCTGGTGCCACTTTCCCATCTGTGCACCCCCTCTAGGCTCATCATTGGCTTCATCAGCAAGCAGTACGTCTGCAAACTGCTGAGCACGGAGCCGGACGGGACCTTCCTGCTCCGCTTCAGCGACTCCGAGATCGGGGGCGTCACCATCGCCTACGTCACCCGGGGCAAGGACGGTGAGACGGGGGGCAGGTGCTGGGAAGGGGGGGGTCCCTGTGGCCTGGAGGTGTGATGCTGGAGCCCTGTGCTGTGTCTGCCCTCGCTCAGGCTCCAGCCAAGTGGAGAACATCCAGCCCTTCTCTGCCAAGGACCTCTCCATCCGCTCCCTCGGCGACCGCATCCGGGACCTGGGGCAGCTCCGCAACCTGTACCCCAACACCCCCAAGGACCAGGCGTTCGGGAGCCACTACAACAGTGAGAGGGGGGAGCTGGGGTGGGCCCCGGGCTGCCCCTTTGCACCCCAGCGATGCTGCTGGGGGGGTCTGGGGTCTCACCCGGGCCATCCCGGGGCTCGTGGGGGCGGCCGGTGCTGGCAAAGAGGGTTGGCAGGGCATGGCCAGGGCGGTGCCTCACGGGTGCTTCTCCTGCCCGAGCAGAGGAGCAGACGGGCAAGGACGGCCGGGGCTACGTCTCCACTGCCATCAAGATGACGGTGGAAAGCGAAAGGTGGGTGGGAGGCCGTGGCTGTGCCAGGGGTGTGTGCACGTGGGACGGGGTTTGCACAGACCCCCGGCCAGCCCGAGCCTCCCCCTGGGCAGGGCCATCCCTGAAAGGGCAAACCAGGGCTGTGCTGGGGAGCGAGGAGCCCCCGTGGGCACCCCGAGCTGTGCTGGGGCACGTCTGTGTGCCCACCACCCCCTGAGCACAGCCCCTGGCACAGGCACCCCTTTGGAGCCTGGACCTGGCAGTGCTGATGGGGACAATGTGCTCTTGCAGGGACCAGGAGCCCCCGAGCTCCATGGGGGCCCCCCCAGCCCCGATGTTCCCTGTGCCTGTGCCACAGCCCGAGAGCCTGCAGCCACTGCCAGGCTCCCTCTGGTGAGTGCCAGTGCTGGGCAGGGCCAGGCCTGCTGGGGTGGGGAGTGGGGGCTGTGGCAGAGCCCCCCCCTCAATCTGAACCCCTCGGTGTCTGCACTGCAGCCCCCCCACTCCCTTCTGCCCCCAGCCCGTCCCCCCGGGCTACCCTGAGAGCAACATGAACGTGATGGTCCCTGACAGCCTCACCCCCTTCCCCAGGTAGGAGCGGGGCTGGGTTAGGGTGGGGGGACCATGGTGAGCCCCCACGACCCCCAGGCAGGGTCAGGGGGTGTTTCCCCCACTCTGAGTGTCCCTCCTCTCCACAGGACACCTCCAATTCTCCCACCCTCCCTGAGTATGGACCCTGCACTGCCCCTCTGCCAGGACCCCACCTTCGGGAACCCTGGGTAAGACCTGGCACGTGGCTGGAGGGGGCACCTTGCCCTGCACCCCCTTCTCCCTCCCACCTGGGCACACAGACCTGGAGGGACCGTCCCCAGCTGACCAGTGCTCCCAGTGCTCTGCACTACTGGTGCTTCCTGGAGGAGACCCACACCAGCCCCCCCCGACCAAGCACTG